TGTGTGTGTGTGTGTGTCTGTGTGTCTGTGTGTGTCTGTGTGTGCAGTGCTGTAGGCGTCCACTAGAGGGGGTGATTGTAACAGCTATGAGATGATCAATGAAATGAAATATAACAGTCACATAATGGACACATATTGTTTTCACTAATGTAAATCAAGCTGCAGGTTCCCACAATTATGGAGATGACAGGAAATATTCCTCTCTATATTTCTTGGCATTTTCATAGTGGAGACACATTTCTTAAATATTTCACAGGTACAATAAAATCTTCTAAATAGCTAAAACTGAAATAAAAAATAATAAAAACTATAGAGACAAAAAAATAACCCTGATATACACATGCATGCTGTCACATTAACAACAGTGCAAATTAAAAAGCATGAGTGTTATTAATAAAAGCGGTTCTGATGTGATGTATATGTTGTGTGCTGTGTTTAGGACGATGGCCATCGTTCAGTCGTATCGGGACGTCCTCAGTGAAGTGTCCCGTTTGCAGTCAGTCGTTCAGTCGCAGTCAGAGCTGGTGAAGAAGATGAGAGAGAGGCCAGCGCCGCCTGTCTTCAGAAGAGGTGAGACCTGAACAGCTGTTATTTATGGAAGCTTTCTGCCACAGAATAAAAATATAGAATGGTACACAACTGCTCAAAAGTTTGGGATCAGAGCGATTTTTAATGTTTTACAGGAGTGTCTTCTGCTCATCAGGGCTGCATTTATTTGATTAAAAATACAGGAAAAAATGTAATATTGTGAAATATTATTATGATGTAAAATAACTGTTTTCTATTTTAATATACATTAAACTGTAATGTATTTCTGTGATGCGCAGCTGTATTTTCAGCATCATTCCTCCAGTCTTCAGTGTCACATGATCTTCAGAAATCAGTATAATATGCTGATTTATTATCAGAAATAAAATTTATTGTTTTGGAAGCTGTGATACCTTTTTCAGGATTCTTTGATGAATAAAAAGTTAAAAAGAAGAGCATTAATTTAAAATATAAATCTTTTCTAACAATACACACTACCGTTCAAAAGTTTGGGGTCAGTAAATTTTTATTATTTCGTTTATTAAAACTTTTATTCAGCGAGGATGTGTTAAATTGATAAGAAGTGATAGCAAAGATTTATATTGTTAGAAAAGATTTATATTTTGAATAAATGCTGTTCTTTCTAACTTTTTATTCATCAAAGAATCCAGAAAAATTATCGCAGTTTAAAAAAATAAAAACATTGATAATTCTAATAATAAATCAGCATATTATACTGATTTCTGAAGATCATGTGACACTGAAGACTGGAGGAATGATGATGGAAATACAGCTTTGATCGCAGGAATAAATTATATTTTAAAGGATATTAAAATAGAAACCATTATTTTATATTGTAATAACATTTTGCAAGATTAATTTTTTTTTCTGTATTTTTGATCAAATAAATGCAGTCTTGATGAGCAGAAGACACTTCTTTAAAAAACATTACAAGTCTTACTGATCCAAACTTTTGAGCGCTAGTTTAATTCTGAGTTTAGATCTCACTTTTTTTTTCTCGCAATTGTTTTTTTTCTGTATTGTTTCTGCCACAGAATAAAATAAATAAATAAGGAAACTGTGACTTTTTGTCTCATATTTCTCATAAAAGAAAGAAAGTAATTTTTCTCGCAATTGCAAGTTTGTATCTCACAATCTGGACATCAAAGTTCAGTTTATATGTAACTTTGTTTTGTTTGCTTTTGCCACAAAAATAACCGCTAATTGCAACATTGTATCTCACAGTTCAGACGTTTCTTCTTACAATTGTGAGTTTGTATCTCGCAATTCTGTATATTTATCTTGCAGAAATAAAAAAAATTAAAAAGGTAATTGCAACTTTTTTCATACAATTGTAGTCACGAGTGTGAGAATTGAGAGAGAGTTTATCTTGCATTTCTGGGTGAAAATTGTGAGATATAAACTCAGAATTGCGTTTTCTGTAGCAGAAATAAGCTTCCGTAATTATTAATTCATGTTATTAAATATAAAAATGTATAGATCACTCAATAGTAACTATTCTTTCTCCATCCTCAAGTCGCTCCAGCACTTATTTTATCATTACTATAGTATTATATTATTTAGCGTGGTTCTTTTTTGTGGTTATTTAGCGTGGTTCTTGAGAGTATAAATCACCGTCCGCTTTTATTTGGTGCTGGTTTGTGTGCTTTTGTGTTGCACAGTAGAAAGAAAATGATAAAAGTCCAACAGTAGGCTGAGTAAATGAGTTTGGGTGAAGTATTAAAGATGTTCAGTCAACATAAACCCAAAAAACCAACAGCAGAAACAAAAACAATCCATCATACTCGCAGCTGTGGCTGTATTTGCATGCAAGCGTTCAGCAGCCGCTCTGATTCATAGTGACTTACGTTACAGTCAAGCTGTACATTACATTTGCATTTAAATGCACGGATAAAGGCTCTTTTTGTCTATTCAAGGACTTGTGTTTTTGAGTGATATTCATTTGGCGGCTTTTCGCAATATTAATTTGATTAGTTAATTTGCATAGTATGTCATTAATTCAGTAGATTTCAGTGGTTGCATCATCATGAAAGTGCCTTTGTGTCATTTTTCATCTATTAAAATGTTTTAGTAAAAATTATTGTTATATTGGGCATATAAATAAATGCTTATTTGAGAGTAAATGCATAATATATACACTACCTGTCAGAAGTTTGGAATAATTAAGATGTTTTTTTTAAAGAAGTCTCTTCTGCTCACCAGGGCTGCATTTATTTGATCAAAAATACAGTACAAATTGTGAAATATTATTAGAA